TCATAGTTTTATAACTAAAATAGCTAGATCTAACCGTGACTTCTATTCTAATTGTTTATTGTCTTTTTGTTTTCTTTCTGTCTCCTGAATCCATTTCTGTTATTGACCCTTTTCCTCATTAAAATATTTCAATCCCAGTACCTCCGTTGCGTTTTAGTGACATTATTGCCTTTCTGGGGGTGAAATGATGAAGAAAAATAACCAGGATGCTTCCCTGTTTCTGGTTTTAGCCAAACACTAAGGTAATTATTATTATTAGTAATAGTAGAAGTACAATCCCTTACCGTGCCATTTCATAAAAATAACACGATCCCGTACAATATATTACCAGTCTTCGGGCGAAGGCATATTTTCGGGCACTGTCTACGAATTTTCATTTTGCCCTTTCTTCGTTAGGCAAAATATACATCTTTCTCCTTTTAACAATGAAAACTAAAGATGTTTTGTAGAAGGTTCGTAATCCTGGATATGACGATAAGCTACATGCGTCAGCAAGGCCTCTGATCAAGAGATTGGAGGTTTTGAGGAGTTTAGTTCCACCCGGATCCTGAGTAGTATCACTTGTTCGGGTCCCAACTCTGGGCAAATAGTGAACCCTCAAAAAGTAACAAAACAGTGTAAAAGTTTAAGAATACGTTTTATAGTAAATAGAAAATAGTAGCAGTTCATATTTATATGAAAAATAGCAACAATATATATTTCTAGTAAAATTACGAACAATACAATTTTAAGGGAAAAGGATTAGCAATATATTTTATAGTAGAATTACCAACAATAAGCTTAAAAGCAAAATGACAAGTTATGCATTTTATCTGTAGTTGAAAACGTACAATTGTGGTCAGTATATATTTATATGAAGCTATAAAACTGTATTCTAAATATTTGGATTTCGGCATTAAATAATCCATAATGGTTGATATGTCGCTAAATTAAATCTACCAAACTAGAAACTTCGTGGAAATACCGCAATCATATTTATTTATTTCTAAATGATTAAACACTTGATGAAGCGTGGTTCGTTGGAGTAAAAACAGATATAATGAGATCATCATTGTGGACAATTTTGTCAGAGAAATAACGAATAATTTAAGAATTAGAGAAAGTACTATAATACATATTGTGCAATGGAATAATGTTGAATAAAAAAAAAGGTCGAAGTGCTTAAATAAAAATGTGCAGAATTGAATCAGTAGCCAGAATACTAATTGTAATAAAACAAGCTATTTTAACAGAGTATGAAGCTGTCTAAAGTAATAATTTCCCAGCTAGGTAAGACCAATTTTAAAGCAGAGTAAAAAAAAAAAAACAATGTGATAAATCATTAGATTTTAAATTCATTTCTTAGTAATTGTTCCTTGTTTTCATTAGATCTTAAATTTATTTCTTAGTAATTGTTCCTTGTTTTTCAGCAGCCCTGACCTCCCCAGCTAGGAGTCTTGTTGCCACATACCCTGAATCGTATACTGGGTCAACAGCTTCAAGAAAAATATAAAAAGTGGTTAATGGCTATAAGTGATAGGAAGATTTGGAGAGCCATTATCGCCCATGTGCTGAAGAGACATAGTACACAGGAAAAAAAGAACGTTAAAGAAAATGCCTTCAGCTCAGCTCAATTCAGAGTGGTTCAAAAATACATCACAATTTAAAGCCAGAACATATTTTTAGATTGTAAGAACTTTATTGTAGATAATAATGACACAAATTCTACTGATTAACCCATAGCTGGGAGAGGTGAGCTGGATTCATAATTTTCCCAAGGTATATGTGCGTTTAATGAATATAACCAACCCGACTGGAATTGGAGCTCGGTTCTCCGTTTTCGCATCCCGAGCTGTTACCAATTACACCACCTGCACATCCATCTAGATACTAAGCTCGGCGTTGCTTAATTTCGGTGATCATACGGGAATCGATGTTACAACGTGATATGGCTGTAAGGCAACGACGTTTAGGATATTTTGAATTAGAATATATGAAAAAAAAATACGGACGTTATGGATATATTTCGACTCTTATTATAGTGTGACCAACGTGAAACCAACCTGACTTATACGGCAGCGACTGAATTGCAATTACACATCATTGTCCTTCAATGCAGTCAGCATCTATTTGCCTGGGCTGTCCATTGCCAAAGCCTGTAATATGAATAATCAGTCAAATTACATAGCACCGCATCTTGAGCAGCAACGGGAAGTTTCCATAGAGTTGTGCCATATTTAGCAACACAGTTTCGATACTAGAAATACCAAAACCAGTCCAAACCTTGTAAATTGAAATAAATGCGATGCCTTTTTATTGATGAATGAATTACATTAGTTCAGTAATTTTTTTTTTCGATCGCTTATCATGACTAAATATTCAACCAGAATCTGACGTATATCAGAATCGTGCTCATTATAACTTTGATTCACGAGCAAAGAATAATAAATGGATTGCACATCTGTTAGCAGTGTAAACTCAACGAACAGACAAGTCTTTCTACAGCTGCAGAAGAATGCCTGGCAACCGAATGGAAGTCTGTTTTGTCGCTCATCATTATGGACTTGTACGTTTTTTTTTATATTTTTCTTTCAATAGTTTCACTCTCAGACAAGGCGATAATGCCACTAGAACGCAAGGAGTGAAAGTGAATGGAAAAAACTGAGAATGGGGAAGATTGGAAAAAAGACAAAAGTAACAGGTTACAACAACACAGAAGATGGCAATTGACATAGCGTTTAATTTGTTAAAGAATGTAGATATTAGGGAAGCAAGAAATCGGAAAGGAATACCACAGATAAGAAGTGCGAGAAAAAAACTTTTGGAGGAGAAGTGGCGGTTGCATTTAGCTAGTTCAACAGTAAAATAGTGATACCTACTTGCCAATCTGGCAGGCATGCTAGCAGAGTAAAAACTGAAAAGAATGAAAATATGTCATGAAAATATTTGTAGAAAAGACAGAGGGAAGCTCCGTCTCGTCGCTGAGAAGGTGACTGAAGTCAAAATGCCTGGTCAGGATCGATTATATTGCTCAACTTTCTCTAGATTTTGTCAAGACTCTCAAGATGTACAGTTGGAGCGCCAGACTAGATACAACAACATTATTCAATACACAAAAGAATATCAGATTAAATGTGTAAGATGGATTCTGATAAGAATTACAGTGAACAAATTTTACTTGCAGTAGACGTAGCAACTGATCTGATATAGTCGCTGCATTTTATGTCAGTGGAAGATGTGAGGGCGAGAAGACGTAGAGTGTTGCTCCCCCTGGAGTTTAGTTTTTAGTCAAGTTGATGGCAGGCAGGCAGAAAAGATTCTCTGTGGTGGTCAAATGAAAGCCGTTTTTTTTAATTTTGAAGGCGTTAAAATTTACACGCCATTTAATGTCTTAGTGAAGAGCAGTTGATAGGTTTGCTTTGTTGGATTTCATGCAAACAAAATAATTCACAACGTGATGAAATGTTAAAATTAGGATCCAGTTTCCGTAGTGCAGCACCGATTTTTCAAATAAAATATTTCTTTAAATATCTCAGAAAAAAAAATGATACAACATTTTTAATCACCATGGATCGTAGTTTTTCTTTACGAATATCCTCTTCGGTATATGGCCATAAAAGATGAAAATGAATTCTTCCCGTTTCAGCAACCGAATTCTATGGATACTTAGTAATTTTAAGAAATAAATATTAATCCATGAGATAATGATAACCATTTTCAGATTTTTAAGCCAAGTTGATAGCCCCCTTTTCTTCCGAGGACTATTCCTGAAAGCCCCCTTTTCTTCCGAGGACTAATCCTGTGGCGCTTCTACCGAGTCATCACAGAAAATCCTAATGGTCCTTTCCAATGTGGTGATCTCAGGCTCTGATGTATAGATGTTTTTCAAGTAATAGCCGTAAATCATGTCAGGCTCTCGTAATTTTTTCCTGGTGACAAATACTTTAAACGGAAACTGTAACCAGAAGAATTTATCAATGTGGTACAATTTCCAGGTTTAGGTTGTTATCGATTTCTATTTTTTCTTCAGATTAGGTCATTTACAGCAGTGTGCAGTAATATGAATCTTTTTTCAGGGTGTATGATGAAATTTGTTTGGCCTTGAGAAATATTGCGTCATCTGTGATTGCATCAGATTTTATCACATCCAAGTATGAACAAGATATCTTTTTCCCCTGAAGATGATCTTGGAAGAAGATCGAAAGTACTTGTAAAATGAAAATGAAAGAAATTTAAACAGCTATAGCACATTTCTCTCATCCTTTATAATCCATACACGGAAGGTTATTCGTGAGTATGTACAGACTTTGTTAAAAATTAGCTCACATAATGCCAGTCATTTATTCAATCAGACATGCTCAAAAGAGAATTTTCTGTCTATATATATATATATATATATATATATATATGGTGTATTTTGGCAGCAATACTTCTTTTATACATGTCTTATTGAATAATATCGATAATTTCTATTCAAAATTACATCAGAATCGGATTTTTATGTTTATTTATTTTTTTAAACACTCTTCAATATACGATCTCCTATGGAAAAAGATAGCTTATTCAAAGTTGACTGCTTCTCTTTATTACAACAGTATCCAGTATTTGTTTGCATTGTGTTCTATATACAAAGTGTTGGTGTTATCAACTAAAATTTGTCTTGTATTCACGCTATGATAAATCGGATATATTGCCACACGCTTCTGAAGACGAATTCCATACACACACATTTACACCAGCGTAAAAATGGACCAACTTCTATAGACAACATATTTGTCAAGCAAAAATTTGATACGGAACATATAATAATAATGGTAGCCTCATAAAAAAAAATCCACCATTAACTGCATCAACTGGAAATACAGCTGTATTTGAAAATTAAAAATGTCTCCTTTCAGTAATTTATGCATCCTTTACAATAACGCTTACGCACAATTTTCAATATCAGCACAAAAATCTTTGAAAAGACATTAGCCAAAAGTGTTCGAAACAATAAAACGTTGGCACAAATTCTACAGACACTAATTCCAATTATGAAATAGCCCGTTCGTTAACAAGAAATACAATAAAAAAACAAAATCTTTAATGAAACATGTATTAGAGAGGTAATATTTATTGTCTTTTTTACGGATATGTGTTCTTGTGTATAAAAAAGAAAAAAAAAGAAAGTAAAAAAAAGAAAGAAAGAAGTAAAAAGAAAAAGAAAGAAAAAATAAAAAAGAAAGAAAAAAAGAAAGAAGTAAAAAGAAAAAGAAAGAAAAAATAAAAAAAGAAAGAAAAAAAGAAAGTAAAAAAGAAAGTACATAATGAAAGAAAGACTTAATGAAAGAAAGAAGTAAAAAAGAAAGAAAGAAAAAATTAAAAAGAAAGAAAGAAGAAAGTAAAAATGAAAGAAAGAAGAAAGAAATAAGTAAAAAAGAAAGAAAGAAGAAAGAAAGAAGTAAAAGAGAAAGAAAGAAAGAAAAAATGTAAAAAAAGTAAAAAGTAAAAAGAAAGTAGGAAGTAAAAAATAGAAGAAAGAAGAAAAAAGAAAGAAAGGCGTATAAAAGAAAGAAAGTAAAAAAGAAAGAAAAAAAGAAAGAAAGAAAGAAGTAAAAATTTATGCGTATAATTTCATTTTTTTCGTCTATACTAATTTTTGTTGGTGTCATATGAAATGGCTTCTCTCTTTGTATAATCTCTCATATTTTCAATTCTATTCCTCTCGTATCTGATAAGTTGAATGTCAATTGGAAATATCATTATTGATCAACAGACGCATTTGAAAATTTACTTTTTATTTTTCATCGATGTAATGAAAAAAAGGTTTTGACAGAACAAAGCTTGTAGCTTGTAGGATGTTCCATTATTCAAACGTTAATCCCTATGCAACTTAACTTTAAACGAACAATAGACATCATTTAGAACTAATATGAAAAACATCAATGGAAACAATAGTAACAGTCTTAACTAATGCTGTATTTGAGCCTGAATATCTTAAAATAGCAGCTAAATATATTGATCATTGAATATGTTCATAATATAATCTGATCTCTTTCCATTTCAAATGGTTCTTTCTTTCTTTCATTCTTTCTTTCATTCTTCTTTTTATCCTGTTGACTTCCTGGCTTTAATGTGTCAATTTTGCCTTCATTTTTCTGTTATTTACTTCCAATCTTTTAGATCTCATTATTCCACTTTTAAGATTTTCTGTATTATTTCTGTCTTTTTTCCATAAGTCTTTTTCAACTTTTCTTTTCTTTATTTTTTCCTTCTTTATTTCTCTTTTCTTTTTTTTTTTTTTTTTGTGAGTTCCTTATTTTAATGTATCTATGATACGTTCTTTTTTCTGGCAGATTTTTCAAACGTTTTAGAGGAATGTTTTCCCCTTTTAAGAGTTTCTGTAAATTTTCTTTTCATGTCTTTTCAACTTTTATTTTCCATATATCATTCTTTGCTTTTTTACTTCTTTATTCTTTACTTCCTTCTCTCTTGCTTGCTTTTTTCTTTCTTTCTTGCTTACTTTCCCTTCTTTCTTTCTTTCTTGCTTTTTTCATTTCCTTCTTTCTTTCATTTTTTACTTCTTTCTTTTTTCTTTCTTTCTTTTTTACTTCTTTTTTTCTTTTTCTACTTTTCTTTCTTTCTTTCTTTTTTGTTTATTTCTTTCTTTTTTGCTTCTTTTTTTCTTTTTTACTTATTTCTTTCTTTTTTACTTCTTTAATTTCTACTTTTGGCTCAGAATGAGAAATTGGACACTAGTGTCCTGCACATTTATTTACGCGCAAATACCCTTGGGAAACACATGAATCCATCTCTTCTGCCCGAAGCACCAACTATGTGTTAGATTGCAGGAATTTTCCATATATAATTCCCGCTATCTAAAAAACTCTTAATGCAGAATTCACTCGAAAAAATTCTTAGAATCTAAAACATTCGTTTTGGCTTTAAATAACACACAAACGGTTGCCAACCCATAAAAACGAATCTAAAACTCTTTTTCCTCTCATTATTTTTACCTTCTTTGCGGAGCAATTCTTTCTTTCGAAACTGGCGACAATCTTTTCTGCAACTTCTTTGTTCTTTTCTCTTTATTCATACTATTTGTTTTTTTTTGTTTCTTTTTTTAATTTCTTCTACAGACAGAAAATACATTCTTTTATTCTTTATTAGATAAATTCAGTCATATTTAAATTGTAAAACATTCAAAAGTTCTCAGTTCCTGCTTTATATTTTTACATGATTCATGTTCTGTTTAATTTAATTTTAGATATTTTAGACGCATAAACAACCTTCTCTAATTGTAAATATAATTCTCTTTTTTCCTCTGCTGGAATTTGCTAAACAGCAGTCTATGGCAAAATCCAATAAAAAGGAAACATGAATTTTAAATAAAATGTCGCTTAATAATCTACGTCTTGGCAAGATATCATGTGTAATGGTCTTCGTTTATGTCAGTATGGTAGCAAAGTTCTCAATATGTTTGGGCCACAGCAACACCGGAGTCTGGACAATTTTACCCGTTAATCGATGTTCAAATCTTTTCATGTAGATTCGACTTTTTCTTTCCTTTTGTTTCATTTTTTTCTTTTTTGCATTGTTATGTATTAGATAATAGATAAAATTCTAACTTTCTCGTATCTTTCTCAAAGTCCTCCTATTTTCAAATTTTCCACGGTTTTTAATCTTCCGTCATTTGCTCAGTGTCACTATCTTGTTAATTCTTATTTCTTCACTAAGGAATAAGAGGACCAATTTTCTTGCAATTGTAATCAGTCTAGATGTCGGAATATTTTGAAATTTTATTTGCCAGAAAAATCTCTTCTTTATGATGATTCTATTAGTTTAAATGCTGGAATAAAAGTTGATTTCTCCTCGCATAATATTTTGTAGGTATCTCCACTATTTCGGCATAATTTTCTATATTTAAGTTTAAAATGATTTTTTTACAACGAAAAAATATTCTTGAAGATTTTATTTTAGCTTTAAAAAAAAGTTTAATCATTAAATTTATGATTTCCATTAATTAAACAATTCTGGTGTATTTCAGATAGAAACTATATACATTTGATTGTCAAATTTAAATTCAATTTTTAAAATTTTCTTAAAATCGGCCATTTTCTTAATTTTAAGAAATTTGTAGACAAACACAAATTTATCGATTTTGAAAATATTTAAAAACATTTCTGACACGTTATTTTAGTAAAATTAAAAAATTTAAAGTTAAAGTAATCTGATTTGAAAGAAATCTTTCTTACTTGTAGCATAAAAAAATAATAGACAACCAATTATTAACGAGCGGTCCTGTTCATCTGACCGAACTATTGATGGATTGTTGAATGACGAACCGATGCGTTAAACCTGACTTAATCGATTAAAGTTTCTACTTGGTGTTGTTTACAAGGATATACTGATGACAAAATGGACAGAGGAAAACAGCGCATAACCTACCTAAGTATCTTCTGTAAATAGTTGGCTAAACAGGTTTTGAGATAGATAGAAAGACAATCTTTACTAAGAGCCACAAACGACATTCCTAAACCTTCTGAATGGACATGGCACATAGATGAATAAATTTGGAGACGATGGTCGGTCAGTGACAAAATCCTAAATCTTACTTAATAAATTGTAATCAGAATTAAAAAAAAATATATATATATCGTTCATACGTAAAATTATTATCTCATCGGTTCTGGAATCACACAAATTAACACCGCACGTGAAAATATTTCGTTTCTGCTAAATCAAAGAGACTTCTAGCAATAATGTGAGAGTGTCTGCCGCAGTTCGAAAATCAATATACAGGCTCTCATCCGTTTTTTTTTCTGTGTTTATATTGTAAGTTTAGTTGTTTCTGTTTCTATCATCACAACGAATTTCCCAGATTGCTGGAGGCTTCGAAATTACACACATACATAAAACTATGTAGATATGTGACAGACTCATTCTCAGATGTAGAGGCATTCTATTTTCTATCAACCTAATGCAGTTGATTCGGTTCTATTGTAAAGAAAGTCAAACAAAACTATTTTTGTGTGACGATATTTCGCAAAGAATATTTGTAATATATTTCTTTCAATTTGAAAGAAAACTATTACGCAAAAGTAAATAAATTTGTAGAACCGTACTTGAAGATTGTTTAGTTCTTCGCTTTCAAATGCTTAAACCGCGACATATTTCTAATGGATATTTGTGCGGGAAAGTAAAGTAGAAATAACGAACGCGGGCGTAATTCGAACTATCGCACAATTTAAGGAGGTAGAATCTAATCTTAATTGTATAAATTATAACTATGTGACTATTTATAATTATTTATATATTATATGAAATTTTTTTTTAAAGATATATTAAATAAATTAAAATATCACCTATTTTAAATTAAAATATTATTTTTTACCTTTATTTTTACCTCCAAAGCCAAATTTGACATTTTTTGTTATAAAATTTTCCTCCCAACCAGAATAAAATTTCTTCTTCTTTAATTTCATGTTTCATTCTCAGATACACATAAATATATACATCCTGTATATTCGTAAATTTATATTCCACAATATGGTTTCAAAAATTACAGACTATTAAGAATATTTTGCTTTAACACTCAAAGTTTTTGTTATGATTGAATTAATGGCTTTTTAAAAAAAGTTATTTGGAAGTTTTGATTTACTTAGCCATATATCTTGGCACAAGGACACAAGTATTACAAAATATCAGTGAAGATTGAACTCACTGAGTATTTGGTCAACCATATACTGAACTTGTCATTACTTTTATTCTATTATGTCTAAAAGATTTCATAATTGATAAAGGCAAACAAATGTAGAATAACAGTAAATATTCCTAACAAGATTTGAATAATCATAAAATAAAAAAAAATAACAAATATATCTTGAACACCACTAAAAATAATGTCAGATTAAAAATTCTTTAAGAAATTTCTGTTGTTTACATTTTGGGTTGAAAATAAGCTAGCAGATATAGGCTTGTAGAAGTTACAATGAGATGTTTGAGTTTTTAGATAGGTTATTCCCTGGTAAAATATTAGAAAGATATATATATTTATATATATATATATATATATATATATATATATATATATATATCCCCAATCATTTTGAAAATTTCATCTGAAATGAAATATTAAAAAAAAATCAGTAAACTTTTGCGATTTTGTGAATATAAATTTGACATTGATTTTGCAATAAAAGAAATTCATTTTGAACCTTTTCAGGTTTTCTTGCTTTTTATACTAATACTATATTCATTTTATTGTTTTTTAATAATTTTTTTCTTGTGAGAAATTTTACAAGTCACTGACCATTTTTTGAGATCCAATCACAACCTTTTGTAACATTTTTTCATCTATAAACCAAACACTATCTTTTATCCATAATTATTTTCTTTGTTGCTTTTTTATATATATTCATATATTTTTATATATTTCTTTTATATAAATTTATTTCTTTTTGAATACTTTATTCTTTCTTCAAATGTCTAGTCACCTATATTTTCTTTTTCCTTTCTTTTTTTTTTTCTTTTTTTTTTACATTTATACGCCATTTTCTTTCAATATCATTTCATTTCATTCTTTGTTTTTTGAAGTTTTAATTTCCTTTTTTTTAGTTTTTTTTCGCGCCTTTAAATTTTTATTTTCTTTTTTAAATTTACTTCCTTAATT